CTAAGCCACGGGGCCAGCCCCAAGGTATTGTGTTTTAAATGTCAAATTCCAATTGTTCATTGCTGGTATATAGGAAAGCAATTGACTTTTGTGTATTCACCTTGTACCTTGAAACCTTGCTAAAAGCCTTTATTAGTTGCAGGAGTTTTTTGTTTGTTTGTTTGTTTGTTGATTTTTTGGGATTTTCTATGTAGACAATCATGTCATCTGCTAACAAAGACAGTTTTATTTCTTCCTTCCCAATCTGTATACCTTTTATTTTCCTTTTTTGTCTTATTGCATAGGTAGGACTTCCAGTACTAAGTTGGATAGAAGTTGGTGAGAGGGGACATCCTTGCCTTGTTCCCAGTTTTAGGGGAAAAGCATCTAGCTTCTAACCATTAAATATGATGTTAGCTGTAGGGTTATTTTAGTTGTTTATAAAGTTGGAGAAGTTCCCTTCTATTCCTAGCTTGCTCAGTTTTTATCATGAATGGATGTTGGATTTTGTCAAACGCTTTTCTACATGATATAATCTTGTGATTTTTCTTTTTTAGCCTGTTGATGTGATGGATTACATTGACTAACTTTTCTAATATTGAACTAGGCTGCATACCTGAAATAAATCCCACTTGGTCATGGTGTATAATTCTTTTTATACATTGTTGGATTCAATTTGCTAATTTTTTTGAGGATTTTGCATGCTTGTTCATGAAATATGTTGATATGTAATTTTCCTTTCTTGTAATGTCTTTATCTGGTTTTGGTATTAAGGTAATTCTGGCCTCATAGAATGAGTTAGGAAGTGGTCCCTCTGCTTCTATTTTCTGGAAGAGATTGTAGAGAATTGGTATCATTTTGTCTTTCCTTACATGTTTGGTAGAATTTACCAACGAAACCATCTGGGCCTGATGCTTTCTGTTTTGGAGCATTATTAATTATTGACTCAACTACTTTAATAGATATAGACCTATTCAGATTATCTGTTTCTCCTTATGTCAGTTTTGGTAGATCGTGTTTTCAAGGAATTGGTCCATTTCACCTAGGATATCAAATTTGTGGGTTTAGAGTTGTTCATAGTATTTCTTTATTATTCTTTTAATGTTTTTATTAACATTAGTTAACATGGAATCATTAATCCCATACTGTATCAGTATCATTAATCCCATAGTGATCCATTGGATCAGTAGTGATGGCCCCTCTTTCATTTCTGGTATTAGCAATTTGTGTCTTCTGTCTTAGAAAAAAAATCAGATTAGCATGGCTTGAGGTTTATCAACTTTACTGATCTTTTAAAGAACCAACTTTTGGTGTTATTGATTTTCTCTATTGCTTTCCTGTTTTAAATGTCATTGATTTCTACTTTAATTTTTATTATTTATTTTCCTTTGCTTACTTTAGGTTTATATTGCTTTTCTTTCTCTAGTTTTCTTAAGTGGAAATTTAGATGATTGATTTTAGATATTTCTTCTTTTCTTTTTTTTTTTTTTTAAATTTTTTATTTTTTTTTTTTTTTCCCCCCAAAGCCCCAGTGGATAGTTGTGTGTCGTAGCTGCACATCCTTCTAGTTGCTGTACGTGGGACTCGGCCTCAGGATGAACGGAGAAGTGGTGCCTCGATGCGCACCCGGGATCCGAACCCGGGCCACCAGCATCGCAGTGCGCGCACTTAACCACCAAGCCACAGGGCCGGCCCTCTTCTTTTCTAACATAGGTATTCAACACTATAAATTTCCCTCTAAGCACTGCTTTCACTGCATCCCACAAATTTTGATAAGTTGTATTTTCAATTTTATTTAGTTCAAAATACAATTTTTGGGCCGGCCCCATGGCTTAGCGGTTAAGTGCGCGCGCTCCACTGCTGGCGGCCCAGGTTCGGATCCCGGGTGCGTACCCGCTCACTGCTTCTCCGGCCATGCTGAGGCTGCGTCCCACATACAGCAAGACGTGCAGCTATGACATACAACTATCTACTGGGGCTTTGGGGGAAAAAATAAATAAATAAAATTATAAAAAAAAAACAAACAAGAAAAACAAAATATATTTTTTAATTTCAGTTGAGATTTCTTCTTTGATTCATGTGTTATTTAGAAGCATGTTATTTAATTTCCAAGTATTTTGAGATTTTCCAGCTATCTTTCTATTATTGGTTTCTGTTATTATGTGTTCTGAGAGCATACTTTGTATGATTTCTGTTCTTTTAAATTTGTTTAGGTGTATTGCATGGACCAGAATGTGGTCTATCTTGGTGAATGTTCCATATGAGCTTAAGAAGAATGAGTATTCTGCTGTTGTGGATTGAAGTTGCCTATACATGTCAATTAGATCCAGTTGATTTGTAGCTAATGAACACTAATCATCTGGGTCAGAGCAACTACAACACTGCCTAATTTTGGCTGGAAATGGGATCAGAGACAGCATGTATGAAATTTGCTTGGATAAATACAGTATCTAAAAATATCTATATGTTCTGAGAAGATTCCTGCTTTTGGCTAAGATAGAGTAACAAGAATTAGATTTACTCTTGTACCTGTGATGGGGCTCAGGGCAGGCTGCCCCAAGATGTGCCACTCTGGTATGCTGATTATTTTGAGCTGAAGACAATAAAGGCTCAGAAGAATCATGAAGGACATTTGACCTTCCCCCAAACTGCCTAAAAGAATTTAAGATAAGAGGCCTGTCCCCAGGATAGGCCATCACCATAGATAACTCTAGGTATCGATAGATTGTGAGGGTCTTTACTAAGCCCATTCTTATCAAAGTTCTGTTTACCAAACATTTACATTTGTAAGGGAAATCTCCATTTGTAAAGGTATCTCCCTTTCTGTACTGGGAAGGGGGGGAATGACCTCATCTCCAGAAACTTGTCAATGCGGAAGGCAAGGCCTTAAATGTGCATAATAACCTTACTCTTGTTTACTGTGTTTTTCTGGTAATCTCCCATAACTGACTCCCCCCATCCCCAACATCCTCCTTTGTCTCTACCTGAATCTATTTAAGAAGAGAATCTCTGCGATTTTGTTGAGATACTCAGTTTCCCTGGGTCTCTCCCATATATACATGTTATAAAGCTTTGTTTGATTTTCTCCTGCTATTCAGTCTCATGTCAATTTAATTTGTAGCCCAGCGAGAAAGGACCCAGAGTGGGTAGAGGATAGTCTTCCTCCCCTTCACCTGAAACAAATATATTTTAAAAAGCAGATAAAATATACAAAACAACAGTTTTTAAGACATTGGACATCATACAACGAAGGCTAGCCATCGCTGAGAGATGGGAAATGAATGAGATGAGTCCAGTGATTTCTCCAGCTTACTGCCTAGACAAAGTTTACAGGCTATGGCACATGGAAGGGAAATCTAAGCCGAGCCTGGTGGAGGAGACAAAGCTGTGAGAGGAGGAGACAAAGCTGTGAATCTGGGGAGGTCAAAGAGACTAGAGGTCACAGGGCAGAGGAGAGAGCTTTGCAGAGAGAAATTCTAGACGTCTGCAGAGTGGTGCCCTTGAATCTTTAACAGAGTCCCAGTAAGGGCATTCGTGTGAGAGAACTACTCAAGGCCAGTGAAAGAACCATCCTAAAGGATTAGAGGAAACGTTTGTTGCTCCCACAGGGCTGGCGATAGTTCCTATTCCCATTAGCCGGAGTGGAAACCTTAGTAATTCACGGGGCATTGCACAGAGTGCTCAGAAAGGTTTTGCCTTAGTCATGAGGCAAAATTAGCTCTAGACTAAATACTACTGCTCTGGTCTCTTCCAACAAGTCAAAAACAAGACCCAAATGATCAAACCAACAAAGACGATAAAATGCAATCATATATATTTGGGATTTTTGTTTTTATTTTGAAATGGTATCTTTTTTTACAAGTTAATTAAAATGTAAATTTTTTAATAAACTAATATTTTTCAACAATCAGATGAAAGATGTATCAGTGACATCCAAGGATGAAAAGTGAAATGTACAGTCAGACTGCACTGTGACTAGGACTGTTAAATCAGCACGTGAGATCACTGCCATCATTGTTCATGATGGTGCAGGGTCAAGTTCTCAAGACGGGAATTTGATTAGCTTAACCCAGTCTGAGAACTGATTCCCCTTTGGCCATAATCCAGTCCAATCAAGGTCACAAGACACAAATGCACAAACTGTGGGTGAAGCCAGATGAGTGTAGGAGGCAATGATTGATATCTCTAGGATAGGAGTCATACATTTCCGTCATAATCTAGTCCAATCAAGGTCACAAGAGAAATGCACAAACTGCATGAAGTCAGATGAGTATAGGAGGCAATGATTGATATCTCTAGGATAGGAGTCATCCATTTCTGAATTCTGTGAGGGTAAAGAGCAGTGCCTATTTGTTAAAAGCTGGATATTGTTGATAGTTAAAACCATGAGAGGGGTGAGATCAGCCAGGGAGAATGCAGATAGAGAAGGGCCAAGGACAGACTACTAGGGACCCTTGACATACATGAGATGACAGTGGGAACGAGGAGGAACAAAAGATTTACAAAGAATCCAGAGCTATGTGGTATTTCATATTAGAGGGTTTAAAGAAGATGAAAATAATCAATAATGCTAATGGATAGTTTTTATACGAGAAGGTCTGAAAGACATCTAATGGATTTGGCAACATGAAGGTCACTGTTGACCTCATTAATAGCAATTCCAATAGTGTTGTGGGGCCAGAGGCCAAACTGGAATAAGTGTACAATGAATAGGGAATAAGATAGAGACACAAGTGTCCATTATATTATTCTACCAAGAAGTCTGATTGAAAAGAGAAGAAGAGAAATTAAAGGAAAATTAGACGGGAATGTGGCATCAGTGGAGGATTTTAAAATTTTATTTGGGATAAAAGTCTTCAGCATATTTGTCAGCTGAGGAGAAGAAGCCAATAGACAGGTTGAGTTGAAGACACAGGAGGAAAATGATGAAAGAAACAAGAATCTGTGGGAGGTAAAAGGGAACAGGGTCAAGGATATAGGTGGAAGGGTCAATTTCTTAAAAATATATTGTTTAATACAGACAGTTAAAATATTTTCTATCTCTGTTCCTCTCTTCTTTTTTCTTTTTTTAAGTTTTAACTCAACTTTGAAATGGGTAATACATTCACGATTCAAATTTTTTTAAAGTTACAAAAGAGTATACACTGAAAAGTCTTCCTCCCACCACCCCCTAGCTTCCTCATTTTTCTTCCCATAGACAACCAAATTCATGAGCTTCTTGTGTATCCTTCCAGAGATATTTTATGCATATACAAGCAAAAAGGTACATTTAGTATTCTCCCTTCTTTTTACACAAATGGGAGCATTCAATACACACCATTCTTACTTTTGCTTTTTTTAAATCTAACAATATATTTTAGAAATCTTTCCATAACAAGCACACAAAGCGTTTCCTCCTTTTTCTGACTTCATTGTAGTCCAGTCTCCTGTTGATGGGGGACGTGTTACTGGCAATTATAAACATTGCTGAAATGATTTGTTTTGTACATCAAACTGTGAGACATCTGCAGGATAAATTGTTAGAATTGGAATAATTGGTTCAAGATATTTATACAAAAAATTTCAGTCTATATTATGAGAAGCAGAATAGTATTGCAGTTAAGAACTGAGAGCTTTAGACTGCTTAAATCCCTACTTCATCATTGACTAGTTGTATGGCCTTGGACAAGTCCTTGTGTCTGTTTCCTCATTTGTAAAATGGAGATGGTGATAATAATAGCACCTACCTTATAGAGTTTTTATAAGGATTACATGAGATAGTACATGTAATACATGACAAACGCTCAATAAAGTCACTATTATTTTGCCAAATTGTTAGAGGAGTTGATTAGAAACAGGAGTAGCAATTCTTTATCTTTAAGATTGAAGGAAAGGATGTTAGAAAGTGGAAATTAAGGGAAATTGAATTTAATGGCCTCAGTTTCCTTAAGTAAAAGGTAAGAATATCTGCTGAGCATGAAAGGAATGGGGTTGAGAATGGGGCTTGAAGTTTGGAGGAGTAATTGAAGTGGAAGCAAGGGTGAAGGGAAGTAGGGATTTGATGAAAGAAGGAACGGTGAGGCTGGGATGTTGGCGGATCATCCCCCATGGACTATAAAGCCATGCAGGATGATGGAAGGATGGAAAGGAAAGATGTGAGCCTGGTGCCCAAATCTTAAAATGAATCTTAAATGAAAATGAGCAACAGGAGGACAGTAAGTAATTGTAATAACAGAGGTTTGAAACTGCAAAGGAGCAAGAATTCATGGAGGCTGTGGGGAGTGAAGAGAATATCAATTCCATTGCCTAACCTGGGCATTAGGTGTCTTCATTCAAAACGACAGCGGAGAAAGGGCTGTCCTCAGAGAAGAGTCCAGTTTAGATAAGGCAGGAGATAGAGAGAATATTCTACAGCTAGATAAGGAAAAGAAGGAAGTATGCTTATTCTAGAAAGAGAGAATACCAGAGGGCTCAGAGAAAAGGTTTTGGAGAGAAGGAGAAAAGCAATTGGAGGATGGGTGGAGTAGAAGCATCATTAAGCAAGATGGGGATGGGAATAGCTGAGGACACAGGGAACCTTGAGCCAATGGTGAAGTCACTGTTTTGAGAAGCTGATGAAAGCTATGATCTTCTCTCCAGAAAAATATATATTTATAAATACACACATATTTTGCATACAATCTCAGGAAGATCACAAACTCTATAGACACCCAACTTTTTAAAGTAAACTTTTTATTGAAGTATAACATACATACAAATAATTGGTGTCCAGCTCAAAGTGAACATACCTGTGTAACCAGCAACTAGATCAAGAAGCAGAACATTACCTGCTCCCCAGAAGCTCCCCATTGAGACCAATTTCAGCCACTAACCAACCCCAAGGTAACCACTATCCTGACTTCTGTAACTACAGATTAGTTTTATCTGTTTTTGACTTAAAACCATACATTATGCATTCTTATGAGTCTAGTTTCCTCACACAATGTTATGTTCGTGAGGTTCATCCACGCTGGTGTATGTAGTTGCAGTTCATTCATTCTCATCTCTGTATAGTATTCTCACCTCTGTATAGTATGATGTATGACAATTTATCCATTCTACAAATCAAAAACTATTTGGTTTTTTCCTAGTTTGGATGATCACAAATAGTGCTGCTATGAATGCCCTTGAACATGTCTTTTGGTGAACATATGTACACATTCTGTTGGTTATATACCTAAGAATAGAGTTCCCGAGTCATAGGTTCAGCTCTAGTAAATAATGGGGCTTATGGTTTAGACAAGAAATGAGGAAAACAGGGATGCAAGGGAAGTGAAATTCATACAAGCTTTCTGTCTGAATTCTAGTATAAAGTTACACAGGATATTTTGCATTAATCATTTATCAACATTGAGACCAAATTAAAATCACAACAATCAAAGACTTGAATAAAACCAAAGGGAAATTCTTTGAAAATATTAATAAAACTTCTGACAAGCCAAGTCAAGAAAAAAATAGAAAACAAAATTTTAAGAAACATTAATTGCCATAATTGACTCAAGAAGACTGAGAAGAGTTGAGGAGACCAATAACTATTGAAGAAACTGGAAAATTATGTTAGAGAATTCTCTCTCCAAAAAAGACCCTAGGACCTGAAAACTTCTTTCAAGTCTCAAAGAATAGATAATTCCCATGCTATTTAATCTGCTTTAGGATATAGAAGAAGATTGAAAGTTTCTCCAATAACTTTATAAACCATAATCATAATACCAAATCCTGACAATGCATAAATAGGAAAATTACAGCCTAATTTTTCATATGGCTAGAGATATAAAAGAAAGAAAATCCTAAGTAAATTACAAAGAGAATCCAATTCTATATTTATTTATTTATTTATTTATTTATTTTTTGTGAGGAAGATCAGCCCTGATCTAACATCCGTGCTAATCCTCCTGTTTTTGCTGAGGAAGACCGGCTCTGAGCTAACATCTATTGCCAATCCGCCTCCATTTTTTTTTCCCCAAAGCCCCAGTAGATAGTTGTATGTCATAGTTGCACATCCTTCTAGTTGCTGTATGTGGGACTCGGCCTCAGCACAGCCAGAGAAGTGGTGCGTCGGTGCGCGCCCGGGATCCGAACCTGGGCCGCCAGTAGCGGAGTGCGCACACTTAACTGCTAAGCCACAGGGCTGGCCCCTCCAATTCTATATTAAAAGAAGACACTCTGTATAAGTTACTATTATTCTAGGAATGGTTGGATACCAAGAAATCTATTAATATAATGCATCTCAGAAATGTCAGTATTTGTCACAAGTCTTTAAAATATGTATACATAGCCTTTGACCACAATTCCACTTTTAGGATTCTATCCTAAGAAAATATTAATGGTTATGCACAAAGGTTTCACTACAAGGCTATTTCTTAGTGTTGTTTATATCATCAACAAAGACAAAAACAGAAACAACCTAACTGTCCAATAATACAATATAGTATCAGTTAAATAAGCTACACTATACATATGATATACATACAATGGAATAATACGGAGCCATTAAAAATAATGTTGTTGGGCTGGCCCGTGGCTTAGCGGTTAAGTGTGCGCGCTCCGCTGCTGGCGGCCCGAGTTCGGATCCCGGGCGCGCACCGACGCACCGCTTCTCCGGCCATGCTGAGGCCGCGTCCCACATACGGCAACTAGAAAGCTGTGCAACTATGACATACAACTATCTACTGGGGCTTTGGGGGGAAAATAAATAAATAAATCTTTAAAAAAATAATAATAATGTTGTAGAAAAGTCTTTAATAACAGAAAAATATCAATGTCCAAAAAAAATGCAATATGGCCTCATTTAGGTTAAAAAATACATTTCAAATTTTTCATTTATCTTTAGCTATCCACATTTTCCAAATTTTCTGCAGTTATCATGTATAGTTTTTATAAGATAGTGATGAGGATGTGAAACAACAGTTTTTTTTAAAAAATTCCCATTTTTTTACAAAATATTATAAGCCAATATGACCTCAATAAAATAATAATAATAAAATTCCCATTTCTTGTTTGTGGTATGAGGTGAAATATCAGAGAATCACCTTGGCATTCACTTTAGGAATAGAAAGTTCTCATTCATATTTCTCTACCAGCTGGTTGACACCACTTAGGTCCCTGTCTAGATCATGGGACTCAGGCCTCCCTACTTCTCGCCCAGCTGTCAATTTTACACAAGATCTCCTCATCCAGTCTACCTTGGCACTGATACCAGATTCACCTCCTAAAACACCACTGTCTCCTTTTCACTCCCTTGCTGCAGAACGTTCCATAGCTCCTCCGTCCTCCCTAGCCTTCCATTTCAGGGCTCAGAGCCTGATTCAATGCACCCATCAGATCTTATTTCTCAGGGATCCCCACAGCACCCCTCCTTTGCATCTGCAGTCAGGACCACCACCATCCCACACACATCATGCCCCTTCCAGCCTCCACCTATTTGACTCTGCTGCTCTCCCTTCCAGCAGAGCCCTTCCTCACCCAGTCCCCACACCTCTGCCTCATAGTCCTAACTCTCCTTCGAGGCCTAGCTCAAATCTCCTTTCTTTCAAGAAGGTTTCTCTGACTACCACAACCCAGACCTCTGACCACAAATGGCCCTAAAAGTCTGAACCACATTTGAACATTTGGATTAAAGGGCAACCAGACAGTCTGGCTTACAAGACCTTGCTGGCTCATCTTCATCATGAGCTCACCTACCTGCTGCCTTCCTGCCTAATTCCCACAGCCCTCACACCATTCTGTACTTCTCAAAGTACAGACACTGGCAGATCACCCCAGAGAGCAGCAGAAATTCCATCTCCCAACTTTGTGAGTCTCACTCCATGAGTTCCGGTTGCCTGTCTGAGGACCTACCTCTTCTATGATAATTGACACCAAGAATGTCCACTCCCTTGGGGCTGTGACTTCATCTGGTAATATCAAATCATTGATAGATACTGATTGAGCCACTGAAGGTTTGCAACAGAAGATGAGGATTTTGTCTGTCAAGAATATCTACTAATAAGAGCTCTGGAAAACTAGGAAGCTCATTTTGATCTAATAATGATAAAAGGAAATATTGAATGAGCATTTATTTCATGCCAGGTATGCATTATCTCATTGAATCACAACAACCCTGAGAAGTATATTCTATTATTATTCTCATTCATAGAAGAGGAAACTGAAACTTAAAGAAGTAAACATAAAATTACCATATGATCCAGCAATTTCACTCCTAGGTATACACCCAAAAGAAGTGAAAACAGGAATTCAAACAGATACTTGTACACCCATGTTCATAGCAGCATTATTTATAATAGCCAAAAGGTAGAAACAACCTAAGTATCCATCAATGAATGAACACATAAACAAAATGTGGTATATCCATATAATAGATGAACAGATTCATCTCTGGGGGTGATCTGCCAGTGTGCATACTTTATTATTCAGTCATAAAAAGGAATGAAGTTCTGATATGTGCTACAACATGGATGAACCTCAAAGACATTATGCTAAGTGAAATAAGCCAGACACACAAAACCAAGTATTATATGATTCCACTTATATGAAATAGGCATATTCATAGGGAAAAAGTAGATTAGAAGTTACCAGGGGTTGGGAGAGGGGGAAATGGGGAGTTATTGCTTAGTGGGCAACAGTTTCTTTTTGGGGTGATGAAAAAGTTTTGGAAGTAGATAACAGCAATGGTTGTAAAATATTGTGAGTATATTTAATTCTACTGAATTGTATACTTAAAAATGGTTAAAATGATAACTTTTATGTTATGTATATTTTAACATAATAAAAACAATTTTTTAAGAAAAGTTAAGTAACTTGCCCAAGTCATATAGCTAGAAAGTGGCCAAGCTAGAATTTGAACCCAATCCTATCTGACTCTAGGGCCCATGCTCTCAAGCCTAGGGCTTCACTGCCTCTGGAAAGAGCAGCAAACCAGGAGTCAGGACACCTGGGTTCTTGCCGTCACTGTCTTGTGTGACCTTATACAAGCCTGACTTTTCAAGGCCTCACTTTCCTTAGCTGTTAAATG